GTGTATATATATATATATATATATATATATATATAATTTTTACAAATTTTTTTTTATACTGTTTTTCTTTAAACTTTTCTACGGACCCCCTAGCGCTTACATTCCTTCAGTTTGAAAACCCCTGTCTTATACCTCATGGGACGTCATACTGAGAATGTTGCCCAATTTTTGGCAGGACCTTGTTAACTGAATCTTTGTTCTTGTATCTCTTCCGCAGGACGCAATGCAGTATGCTTCAGAGTCAAAGGACACAGAGCTGGCTGAGGAGCTGCTGCAGTGGTTCTTGCAGGAAGACAAGAAAGAGTGTTTTGCTGCCTGCCTGTTCACCTGCTACGACCTGCTGAGGCCCGACGTGGTGCTGGAGACCGCGTGGAGGCACAACCTCATGGACTTCTCCATGCCCTACTTCATCCAGGTCATGAGGGAATACCTCAGCAAGGTGAGCCTCCATCCAGAGGATCTTCTGGGTCTGATGGTGGACACAGTTTGGGATGGTAGATGATTAGGAGCCAGGATCAAAGAAATCGCCACGATTGTTTCACGATGTTAATCTTTCGTCTGGGACAGCCGAAAATCGTGCAGTGTTTAGGGCTTTAGATCAAGGTTCCTCAAATCTTTCCCTGGAGGGCCAATGCGCTGCAGAGTTAAGCTCTAACCCTGATCAAACTCACCTACCTGTGATTTTCTAATGATCCTGAAGACATTGATTAGCATGCTCAGGTGTGTTTGATTAGGGTTAGAGCTAAACTCCGCAGGAAAGTGGATCTCGTGGGCCAGATTTGAGGATCCCTGCTTTAGATTAAGCTTTTTCTCAGTGGAAACGCTTTAGGTCTATTCCAAAACCTAGTTTATAAATGCAGCGGTTGCTTTCTGATAGATTCAACTCGCAATTGATTCCGATAAAGTTTGACGTTAACGAGTTGCTAAGCTAATAACGCAGTATTCTAATAAACAAAAATACATAGCACCCTACCCGTTTGCTAAAAACAGTCCATAACTTTTTTTTTTATTGATACCTTTCAGTAAAAATATTTCTCTGGCCGTTAATTATTATTTTATGATTGATGATTATAATCAATTAATTTATATATTTTCTTGAAATGAATTAAAAGTAAAACCATTCTAAAATGCTAAAAGTTAAAATCATTTATTTTAAATGGCACATTTAGTCATAACAAATGTGTAAGTAGGAGAGCTGTTCAGGTGCAACTACATATTCAATATCTGCAGATACCGATATATTAAAATTCCTGTAATCAATATCATGTAAAACACCTTTCAGAAGTTTGGTTTGTTTTTAAAGGATGTCTCTAATGCTCACCAAGGCTGCATTTATTTGATCAAAAATACAGTAAAACCTTAATACCGTGAATATTATTGTTAAAATGTTTTCTATTTTAAAATTTTATTTTAGTTTATTCCTGTGATGTCAAAGCTAGATTTTAGCGGCTATTATTCCTGTTTTAAGTGTCATAATAGCTTTCTAATCTGCTTATTTAATGCTCAAGAAACATTTAATTTTCAGTATACTTTGATGAATAGAAAGTTAAAATGAACAGCATTTATATTAAATATTTTGTATAATTATAAAAGCTTTACTATCACATTTGATCAATTTAATATATCCTTGCTGAATAAAAGTAATAATTTATTTTAAAAAATCTTACTGATTCCAAACATGTGAATGATAGCGGTGTTTCCCCTGCCATTATATTAGGGGGGCGGCCCGACCCCCCAACGGCACCCCCTGCCCCCCTTGGAGGTCAAGTTAATTGTATTTCATTATATTTTCTCTATAGCGCCAGATCACAACAGAAGTCATTTAAAGTTACCTTTCCGATAGAACAGGTCTATACCTTGTTCTTTTATTAAACAAACTAAATAGCCTTTTTATGTTATTTATCTTATTTACACGACGGCATGTCATTTCGGTCTCTACGTTATGGTCACGCTCTCTGTATCACGCACAGCGGAGTTCCGCCCCCGAAGCGCGCGTGCGCGCACACACACACACACACACACACACACACGTGCGCGCACACACAAGTGAGCACACTCCCATTGGTATTTGTAAATATTAAGCCTATTACGACTATTTAAATATGAATTCTTCGTGTCTCTGTGTTAATGAATGACGCAGATGCGCGGTTTTGTTTACCACTGGTACTGAAGCGCGTGACGCTTGCGATGATTTTAACGTCTGCCATCTCACTAAATGAGGACATGAATACATGAACAACATCTCCAGAACTGCTCTGAGAGTCACTTCATGAGCATTTGACCGTTTCATTTGAGTAAAACTATCCTCATATCATATACACACAGAAATGTAAAGGTATTCACGGCAACCCGTCAAAATAAAAGTTCGGTTTAACTTGAAGACATTGCAGCAGAAATATATTACTTTTGTTCAGTAGAATGTACATAATAGGCTACTACTACTACTAAAATGTACACAACACAGAATTTCTGAGCAAAAAATCATAAGGCTATTGTAAGAATAAATGAAACTTGTTTTTATGCTTTCAAATAATTAGAAATGCTAAATCAGAATTTGGAAAATATAAAAATTTCATAAGGCCCTAAATATGTAATTTTTTTAAAACTTTTAATAAATTGATGTTAAATAGTTTGTTTCATAATTTTAATTAATTAGACATGCTTTTTGATTAATACAATTTAATTTAACCATTAAAAAGGAGTCCAGAACCCCCCCCCCCAAAAAGCCGTAAAACACTGGATAGTGTATACCAATATATTGTGCATCCATATTATGACGACTTAAAGGCTGCTTGCTAGGTTTTGGAACAACATTTTAGTACCTTCTTTCCATATTTGTATAATTTGTTGTGTATAATATATGTATAATATGTATATAAACATGTTGAGTTTTATAGTTTTATTTCCTCTTTTATTCATGAACATGTTCAGACCAGACATTTAATCATGAGGAATATTTCATCACCTTAACCTGACTCTTGGATAGCTTACGTGATTTTTTTTTTTTTTTTTTTTTGCAAGTTTAGATTTATAGTGACACTAGGTAATATTGATTCATTTGAACATCTAGTGAATAACAAATGCTAGTAAAGTAACGGAGGATATTTAATTTGTATCTTCTCTGATTTCCCGCTGTTAATTTCTTTGAACACTTCTGGTGATTGCTGCAATTGTTCTCTACCTGCTTTTTGCTTAAGCTGCCACTCTTAAATTCCCTTTCAGGTTGATGCAATTAAGGAAAAGGTGAAGGTTCACTCTTATTCCATCTTTAACACTTGTAGTTTGGAAGACTGAAACTTTGAAGAATCTGCATGAGTTCTTCCCTCCCATGTCACTTTGCTGCTTTTAAATACACACCTTAACTAGACTTTCCTTGAGTTTCTTCTAGATTACTGACCATCCGTTTGCCAGACGCTGTGGTAGTCCGCTTCAGACCTGTAGATGGTAGAAAGCTGGAATTAGCTGATGAATGCCATGAAACTGTAATTTCATTGATTGCCAACTAGACGATTTGAATTTGAAATAATGAATTGTTAAAGATCATCAGCTAATTCTGTTGTAGACTGATTTAGGTAATTAGGTTCAAAATGAGATGACGGCAAAATGAAGTGACCACATATTCACAATTTACATTTTCATAGTTAAAGGGGTCATATGATGCGATTTCAAGTTTTCCTTTCTCTTTGGAGTGTTACAAGCTGTTCGTGAATAGATAAAATCCCTAAAGATTCATTGTTCACGTGCATCTGCGTGGCTCTCACCGTGTCTACACTGGACGCGAGCGACGCGACAAAATACAATGAACCCATTATAATCAGATGCAGCGCGGCACAACAAATCCCCGACAGTAAACTGATGCCACGTTCTCTTTATGATGTACTGACACAAAGTTCAAATTATTGGCAACGGTCACTTTGTCGCGTCCAGTGTAGACAGACTTTGGGACCATTCACATGTTGCGCCTAAAAATGCGTGAGAAAACGGCAGTCGTGCCGCTTTATCCTTTTTTCCAAAGCGCTCGGGAGCTTGCGCTTTCGTGGCGTCTGCCGTTGCTAAGCAACCGTGACCTGTGCTCTCCACGACGACACGGAAGCTTCAACAAAGGATAAATGGATTTCCAGCACTGAAAATCGCGTGCAGTAGCTCTGGTGAAGACACTGTGTCTGTGTGAGAGCAAAAAAAAAAACAAAAAAAACTATCAGTATAAATATAACGATCACTAGCCTATGAAAAAAAACAAATCTTTAAAGGTTATTCACGATTACGTATTGCTGCCAAGGTATCTAGTCTTTACAGTGATTTGTTATATGGAGCTGTTTGGTAGATCGCGATCTATCTAATTCGTTTGTCTACACCGTAATTAAAATGCGGCAGACTTTAATTGACAGTAAAAAAAAGGCAGAACACCATATAACTCCAAACCGGCACCGTAACTTCATTTTGACGCACGACTAAACAAAGGCAGAACGCCATAACTCAATTTGAGCATTCCAAACAAAGTGAAACAGCCGTAACTGGTGTTATACGGTGAGACATGGTTTTATGTTTAAAAAGACAGTACAAGTCATTATAATCCGTAATTATTATTATAATAATTATAATTATAATCCCAACAAATGCCTCGTTTATAATGGGTTTTATTGGTTTTGTCTCGTCGCGCCGGGACACGGCATCACAATATGGTAAGGGTATCACAATATGGTACATTACGGTCACACGCTTGAGGTATTCGGCCAATCACAACACACTGGATAGCTGGCCAATCAGAGCACACCTCGCTTTTCAGACCGATGAGCTTTGTAAAAATCGACTCGTTTCAGAAAGACGGGGCATAGAGGAGAAACAATATTGTACAGTATGTGGAAAATAATGTGTTTTTTTAACCTTAAACCGCATAAATGCATTTCATTACACCAAATACACAAAATAATGTTATTTTTTAGCAACGTCATATGACCCCTTTAATACTTGCATTAAACTAATAGTTGCATGGTTGCTCGATTTGTTTTCAAGCTGCAGTCTAGCGACAGCTATGAGAAAGTGTGGTCCTTCACAAAACTAAAACCATTGTGTGCTGTAGATACTTTACAAGCATGTGTTTTACCGTGTTAGTAGCACCCTTGAAAGGTCAGGGATCGTGGCTGTCGGCTTTGCCTGCCTCTGGAAGCCGTGAATGGCTGTATAAACCATCTCTCACACCGTCACACCTTCACTCTTAATCTGCCTTTCTCTCATGCACTCTTTTTAACATGGGAATAACAAACTACACCTGTGGCATGATTTCTTTCTCTCAACGAAACTTCGACCTGCCGATCGATCTCTTTAAGCCTGCTCAACAACATAATACTCTTAACTTTTAAAAGTTGACATCAGCTGTATGTAGACAACTGAACCCAAATACAACATTTAAAGGGATAGTTCTGTATTCATTTATCTACCCTCATGATGTCCCAAACCTGAAGAGCTGACTGATTTCTGTGAAACACAAATGGAGAAATTTTGAAGAATGTCCCAGGTGCTCTTTTCCATAGATTGAAAATGCAAACAGATGGTGTCAGGCTCCAAAAATGACTAAAAAGTACCATAAAATTCATAAAAAGTTATCATAGAAGACTTGAAAGTCACTTTTATGGGACTTTTAGTCATTTTCAGAGATCAACAACTCCAGTCCCCATTCACTTTCATTATATGAGAAAGAAGAGTTTGAATATTCTTCAAAATGTCTACTTTTGTGCTCCACTGAAGTAAAAAAAAAAAGAAAAAAGTAGATTTGGAATGACATAAGGGTGAGTATTTGATGACAGATTTGTACTTTTTAGGTGAATTATTGCTTTAAATCAAATCATTCAAGGATGGGTAAGATACCCAGAACAGTCAGCTACTGCTACTGTCAACTCAACATCACACATACACGCACGCATACATACATACATACATATATACATATATATATATATAGGTAGAAGCATCCGGCCCCCCAGTGTTTCCACATCGTCCAATCCGGCCCCCTTTAGGAAAAGTTTGGACACCCCTGGTCTAACCGTTGTAACTTGGCTTTTACTTGCTTATTGGTCATGTATATCAGATTATGGTTTTGGTTGTTTTATGGTGGTAAGGCACCTATAGGTCTTTTGTAAGTCTCAGTTTCTATTATTCGCACAATGACTTCCTTTTTCTCGCAGGGGCATCTTTCACAGAACCTGTCCAATGAGCAGCGTCCTCTCACTTTAAATATACACAAAGTGAGACCATTAGTTTGAATAAAGGTGCGGTCACATTTACAGTTTCGGCAAATTTTTGCGGTTGAAATCCAGTCAAATCAATACGAAACTAAATGCGGGGAAAATATTTACTCGCACAGATTGTGCATGTGAAGCGCAGATTGTGCATGTGAATTCACCACACTGACCAACAGAAAGCTGCTTGGTTTGAAAGTGACTTCTGTGTGAGCTGTGCTTTATACACGGCTACACTATTGACAATACTTTTTTCCCGGCAATATTTTCCTGAATTTTTCGCTAATGTGATCGTACCTGAAGAGGGTTCTGTTTTCTACATATGCATTGTTAATTAATAGGATACTGACTGACTGTATGGTGGACCATCCTTTGCTAGTACCAAGTCTTTGTTATCGACTGAATTGACAAAGCCATAGTGACCATGATTACATGTGAAATGCATAGACCAGTAGTACATAATAGGATGCTTATTTCAATGGGAAGTGTTTGGCGTCGGGTATGGAGTGCCTTGGCAAGAAGCTCGTGCCCTGAGACCTGCTTTGAAAGCGTGTGCACCTTGTATTAAGCTTGGCTTTATGCATCTCCCATGAATGGTCCCATCCATCAGTCATTGCCCCCTTTCTTCAGAGTATTTATCTCTCCTCATTGTTCCACTCTTGTCCTTCTTTCTCGCTCTCCTTCATTCAGGTTGACAAGTTGGATGCTTCAGAGTCTTTGAGGAAAGAGGAAGAACAGCTCACAGAGGCACAACCCATTGTCTATGGTAGGACCATTACTCTGCTCCTTCATCTAAGAAAGAAAAACTTTTTATAACTCCACTACAAATTATTGGTCAAGCAATATGGTATTTATATGGCTAATACAGATATCTAGAAGTGACTTGTTTTAATAATATATTATATTTTATTTTAGGTTTTATTTAAAATAATTGTTGTTTTCCAATTTATTTTGTTTTTGTTATTTTGTGTTTTTGGTTTTGTTTGGTTTAATACTAGCAAGCATGAATGAAATTTATATTTAATTCACATATATAATTAATGTAATATTTTCACTCAAATTTTTGCCGTAACCTCAAAATACCTAAAATGCCACAATATATTAGCTTATCATGTTACATTTTGTGTACATTTTATTTTATTAGAAATATAGATTTTTTTTTGTTTAACGCTAGGAAGTAGCAAAATATAATAGAGGAATTTATATTTAATTTGCATATATAAAAATATTTGCAGTAACCTTAAAATACATAATATGCCAAAATATAAGTTTATCGTTTCACATTTGATTTTATTTTATATTAAGTTATTTACTTTTTTTTTGTTTTTGTTTTTTGTTTGTTTTTGTTTAATGCTAGCAAGTAGAGTCACATTTATATTTAATTCACATGTATAATTTATGTAATTTCCACTAATAAAATATTTGCAGTATCCTCAAAATACCAGATACTGGCTTATCACATTACATTTTTTTTGTTTTGTTTGGTGTTGTTTTATTTTTGTTGTTTTGTTGTTTGTTTAGTGCTAGCAAATATAAATGTAATTTATAATTATATAATATACATATATAATGTATGTAATATTTTCACTTAGAAATATGTGCAATAACCTTTTTGGTATTTTGTTTGTTTATTTGTTTTTTTTGTTTAATGCTAGCAAGTATCAATGAAATTGATATTTAATTATATTATATACATATACAATTAATGTAATATTTTCACTCAAAAAATTTCAATTAACCTCAAAATACAGAATATGCCCAATATATTGGCCTATCACCATAACAAATGCTGAGTAGTCTGGTGTAAAATAATTTACAGTTGCATACTAAACCCATTGAATGAGACGAACAACCTGTGGTAGGTAGTTTTTGTATTAATGCTCCTGTGTTTGATCATTTTTCCCAGGCACACCCCAGCTGATGCTCACTGCAGGCCCCAACGTCGCAGTTCCCCCACAGCAGCCTTACGGCTACGGCTACCCCACGCCGACTGGTTACGGCCAACCCGCACAGCCAGGCTTCGGCTACGGCATGTGAAGCCCTCCTGCCCACAGCTGTCCATCCATCGCTCCTTAAGTTCCTTACTAGCTTATTGTGGTCTACTCACAAGGTTATATAAAGTAAAAAAATAAAAAAAAATTATTTAAATTATTTTCCTTAAGATGCAATGAAGGACTTCATTTTTCTTTGTGCTGTCAAAGAAAATAATCGGACCACATTTTTGTTATTTCACATTCCATATTTAAGGCTACTTATATCACAAGTTTTTCTTTCTTTTTTTTTCCTTTTTTTTGTGAGCTGATTTTTTTTAAGGGGGCATGGGTTGTGTATGTAAGTGGAGTGTCGAGAAGAGCAATTAACCTTAAAATATGTCGTGAAGCATCTGATTTGCACTCTGTCGTGAGAGGAAACTAATGTAGATTCTCTTAATTTTGATGTATTGTATGTGAAGAGCTTACACTGTCAGTCTGTTTAATGCATTTCATTATTGTATATTCTGAAAAAAGGTTAAACAATATTTGAAAATGAACGTATGCATCCATGGGTACATTTAGCTAACACTAAGTAATAATCTGATATTCTACACAAATATGTAGCTGTATGGAAATTTTAAGCGCATACAGACATGAATATAGTAAATGATTTTAATCCCTTAGCCTAAACAGGTTTCCCCGATCGACCTCGTAGTTGTTAACATCTCATTCACTCCATGTGTAACAGGTGACCTTTCCTTGTATTGAATACAGTGCTCTTTCTTGTGTGAATCCATTTCCATAAATGAGCAAGGGATACATTGATTCTTCTGACTTCTGTGTTTACTCATCCGATTCTTTGTATTGAGGTTTGTGTGTGCCAGGTGTCGTGCTGTTCTAGCTCACTATTCGTAGTGTACAGAAGAATGAATACGCAAATGGATACCAATGCTTTGTCCACCTGTAAGATTTGTGTGCGATCTGCAGATTCAGAAAACTGGGGAATAAATTCACACGATTGTGATTTATTTTGGTGGCTTGATTGTAAAGTGGCAAAGATTAAAATGAAACTCGTCCATTCTCCATCATATAGCTTGCCACTTTGTTTTTCTACAAATCACAGACACAGCAGCCATTAAAGGTGCACATGGTCTTTTGTTTCAGTTTTGCTAGTGGATATGACGGTCATATTGGAAGGAACTGAAAAAATATTTTGTGTAGTTAGCCATAATTTATTATATATTACACAAAAAGAAAAAATCGGCAGGATCATATGATCTCAACATGGTGGCGCCCATGAGGCGACTCCCTTCATGTACAATAAATGGACATTTATTAGGCTACTGATGTAATGGAACATATTTTACACAAATTTAATCTAAAACTTTAAAATGAGGGAGAATTGCGGAGACTTTAAATTTGCAGAAATGTATATTTGTAAACATGTTCATTTATATCAATCTATAAGAGAGAAGCCTGGAAAATTTTTTTACAATTCAACACAGTTTAGACGTGTATAAATAGGCACACGGGAAAGGACAGGAACTTCCTTCGGTCATTCGATAGTACGCTAGAAAATCTTGAGAAGTCAGGTATTCTGATCCCGGATATGCGTGTAGCAGAATAAAAGTGTTGATTGGTCATCCTAAAATAGCCTTTCTATTTTTGTCATCGACAGAGCCCCCAAGCCATACGGCGAAGCTGCTGTGCGATATCCTAAATTAAAATTTACAAACTTTCTATAATATTGAGAGCGTGGTGAAAATGTCAGCCAAACTAAAGCTCGCTGAATTTTAGCGGTATGATAAAATCGACTCAACAGATGCCAAGTCAGCGGACAGTCGTTCTCTCTGGGTCTTTTATTTTGAAACGACTGAACCGTTCTCCTGCTGAACGTGAGTCATTTCCTGTGGCTGTTGTCGCTTATTGCTGCTGTCAGGACGGAAGAGTGGTTGCAGGTATGACTGTCTCTTCACTTTACATGACCTCTGTTATGACACTTTTCTCTCTTTTTAGCCTAAAAGTATGTGAACATCACTATGTAATCGACGCTGAGTCTGAAATCAAATATAAACAGCGACAGGGGACTCAAAGCTAACCTAGATAGCTAATTCTTGCCGGTTCATCACCCACATGGACTGTTTGAAATAAATAAAACCTGTAAATGGAATCCGGAAATGGTATTTTGTTTTTCAAATAATTGGTAATTACCCAACAGGTGTTCAAAATTCTCATATACTACAACCCTATTTAATCAGTTGGTTGATTTTCTGCTACGAAGTTATAGCTTAGTTGGGTTAGCTTAAGTGCTAGTTAAAGGTCCTAGTTCAACCTATACAGGTGATCAGAGTCCTGTGATGGAAATAAAGGAATATACTGGTACTAGAATACATTATAATTCCTTCTTTTTCGTCAGTTTTATTGATTGTAATGGTCTTTGGGATCATCAGATTATTTAAAAAAAATAAATAATTTTTTTTAAATCAACGTTTGTTACATTTATTCCCTAAAGACTAACTACTAATCCACTCAAGGTTTTCTTGAGGACAAACCACCACCAACACTTCCAAATTTGATTTGAGATGTTTGTCTGCCTTCGGCAAACTTCCCAAGACCTCAGTGAGTCATGTTTTAGCGGCTGTCATTTTTGATGACATTACAAAGTTTGTTTTCTGTGTGCAGGTGTCTGAACTGTAAACAGTAGTGGGAGATGGCTGCAAATGGAGCAGAATGTGAACAGCCACAGAAAAGACTAGGCCCTAAAGACAAGCAGAATGGCAGTTCTACAGGTTTGTTAAGCGGATGGAAAGCTGATTTAATCAATTACCTGCTGGCAGCCACAGCGTAACCCTCAGCTGAGCTGGTCAAGGGTCAGGACCAGAGATAAACAGACCTGCTCTAGTCACGGATAGATTGATCTATCATCATTGATCTTAAAGAAATAGTTCACCCTAAAATGAAATAATTTTTGCTGAAAATGTACTCACCCTCAGGCCAATTTGGCATCACTTGCTCACCAATGGATGCTTTGCATGTTGTTTTAAAATATAATTGAATGGTATTTTAAAAGCTTGTGTATTGTACCCACAGATTCATCTCTGAGAGAGAGAAAGCAGCTGGACAAGGAAGAGCGTCTCTCTTTAGTACTGTGGAAGAGGCCTGTTACCACACTACAGTATTTCTGCATAGAAACCCTCATTACCCTGAAAGAATGGACGTGGAAGTAAGAAATTTAGTTTACACTCACTCACAATTGTACACTCAATTTTTTTATGTCTTTTATATATAGTTTATGGGAAGTTTAACCACGTTATTTGTCCTTGTGTCTGTACTTGTATGGTGAAATTGATTTCCTATCAATGCTAAAAAAGTGAAATGGCACCGAGTGATATTTACAACTATCATTCAGGGTCTTTCCTGAGGGAACTGAATACATTTCAAAAGTTTGAAGTCAGAAAATAAAAGTGTTAATTTCTTTAAAAATGTGTGTATATATATATATATATATATATATATATATATAATGCATGTAGGCATTTTTTGTAAAGAGATTAATACTTTTATTTAGCAAGGATGCATTAAATTGATAAAAAATGACACTAAAGATTACAAAAGATTTCCATTTTTAAATAAATGTTCTTTTAAATGTTCTATTCATTAAAGAAATTCTGAAAAAAAGTGAATCAGTTTCCATAAAAATATGAAGCAGCACAACTGTTTGAAAAAATAATTTGTTCCTTGAGTAGCAAATCAGCATATTAGAATGATTTCTGAAAGATCATGAATACTGGAGTAATGATGCTGAAAAATCAGCTTGGCATCACAGCATCACTTTATGTTGAAATAGTAGTATTTTAAATTGCAATATATAATAGTAAAATTACTGTTATTACTGTATTTCTGATCAAATAAATGCAGACTTGATGAGCACAAGACTTCAAAATAATGAAAAAAATCTTTTGACTCCAAACCTTTGAACTGTAGGGCTAATTGGGATTATTTTAATTCATTTATAGTCATACTTCTAATCAGATCCACCTGTTAGTAATGGAATCAAACCTACTTTTAATAGTACAGATCAGTATTCAGTGGCTATTTATTTATTTTGCAGGCTTTGGCAGAGAAGAGGTGTGGTATTTTTGACTGTAGTCCTTTTTTCACTTTTCTCAATGGCTTACTCAATAGAAGGAGCACATCAAGAGGTGAGCTCAGGGGCTTCTACAGCATCTTTGTTGTAGCCAGAATTGTTGTATTGTTAATGTAATTGAATTATTGTAACATTTCTTAAGATCAGTTTCTTTCTAAAGCTTCTATAAGGTAGTCATTTAGAGAATTTATTCCTCTGAAGCGTCTTGATTCTTTATCAACTTAGTGTTTGTATTGTTTGTAGTATGTCCAGTACCTGGAGAAGAAGTTCCTGTGGTGTGCCTACTGGGTAGGCCTGGGTATTTTGTCTTCAGTCGGTCTTGGCACTGGACTGCACACTTTCCTTCTGTACCTGGTAAGAATTCTTATGCTGGACCCCGCTGTATGTATGTAAATACATACATTTATATGACCTCAATGGTTACAAACACGGTCTGAAACACATCTAAGGTGGTCTTTACATACGGTACAGTCAGTTATTCCCCTAAATGAACTGTTAGGGGCCCAGTGGGACCCTCTGTCAAAAGGGAAGTGTATGTGTGCTCGATGTTCCACTGGAGTATATTAATAGTGTGACAGTGAGAGCATGTGCTCCTCTGCTTCTCTACAGCAGATCTCGTAATCAGAACCTTCCACCAGTTTCCACTGACTCAGACTGAACTGCGAGACCGTGGTCAGAGTGTCCACTTCCACTGGCTGTGGTGAAAGTCACACCCCTTCTTTGTCACAAGAGAACTCTAGTACTTTGTGCTCAGTTTGTTTTGCATTGTGAAAGAATGGGATGTGAAAGTGCAAATATGCACAGTGTTTCACCACCAGACTTTTGTGCAAAGATGAAAATTTTTCCACACGTCGAACTCTTTTAAAAAAAATTTTTTTTTAAATCTTTTTTAATTTAAGGACAAAAACTATAGAGAAAAAAGCACACACAAAATAATTATTATAATTATTAATATTACTTTTTAGGGCAGTCACGGTCAGTTTTATACACCTAACTTTGGGGGGAAAAAAAATACACTTAATATACTTTAATATTATATTTTTTTTCCTTGGGGTTGGTAAAATTAATTGATTAATTATTATAAATTATTAGAATTTAAAATAACAGATTTCTATTTAAATATTTAT